GGATTTGGAAACAGTGCAGGACCTGTCCGGTTGCTGCGGGGAGTACAGTCAGGACAGATAAAAGATACAAAACCCAAATAACAGGACCAGAGGGGCAACGGCTCCCTCAGACTTCTGCTCTGGACAGGGCCCCAAGACCCATAGAAAAAGGGGTATCACACCATACCCTATGTGAACCTAGGTTCCAGTCCCAGTTCTGCCCACTCATTGGTTTCCTGAACTTGAGCGGGTGACCTGGTCTTGGTCAGGTATCTTTCCTCCTCACCGACTGCTGTGGCTGCAGGCTCCCTTCCTTCCCTTCCAAGCCAGCTCGCGACCGCAGTCCCCTCCCCCCGCCCCTGCACCCCCTGCCCCCGCAAGTGCGCTGGGCAGGACATTAGGTTTTTGCTGCGGGACCTTGGCCTGCTGGCTTCCACTGGCTGACTCTCAGTTTCCAACCTGTGAAATGGGAATAAATGCTCCAATCCCAGCTATTGTGAAAACAGGCTCTGCACATCTTAATGTTAATGGTCCAGTAGGGCTCAGCCCCAACCCCGGTCCCCAAACAAGCTCTCTAAAAACCAGCACCAAGCAGAGGGGCTCCCCCCAGCCTCGCGGGCCTCCCCTCTTTCTCCAGCTCAGCCTTTGGGGGTGGGGGCGGGGGGGAGGAGTAGCAGTTTAGGTGGATCTGCAGGATTGGAGAAGGGGCCTGAACTGGGAGCTGTCCTTAGTTTGGTGCTGAACAGGGAGCAAAGGCTGCACTACACGCTGCCTGGCTAGTGAGGCAGCGCCGGGAGGGACCCTCTGTATGACAGGTCCCCAGGGACCCTGCGTCCAGGATGCAGGGACTGTCCAGAAGCCAGTACCAGAGGTGTTGTGGATCCTTGTACAATAGAGTTAGGACAGAAGGCCCCTCCTCATGAATAGACTTCCCATCCGTCCTACCCCCACCACCCTGGGGGCGGCCCAGCTGCACGTTCGTTGACACCACCATACTGAATTGTGAGGTTGCTTTTAAAAAATCATTAGGATGCCAGGAATAATTACCAAGTGGGACTGTAATTATGGGCTGGGGGAGCCTGGACAGAAGGAGGAGAGGTGAGCAGGAGGGCCTGAGAGTAGCCCTCAGACAAAAATAGGCTCCTGTTTTCCTCCAAGGGACCCAGAGCTGGGAGTTAGAGGGACAGAGGCAGTCACTGGGAAAGATGCAGGAATGGAGGGGCTAGAGATGAAGAGGGCCAGAGCAGGCTCCAGGCAGAAGAAAGTGAAAGGGAGAAAAAGAAAGAAACCGAGGGACAGGGGAAGCAAGCTCGAGATCTAGAGGAAACAGCCTGCAAACTTCCTTGAGAGTGATTGTGGAGCCTCTGGGAACACGTTGGGAACGACGGCGAACCCCAAAACAGGCCTGGAGGTTCCTGTCTCAGAGGGCTAGGCTTGAGCCATCCGTTTGCATCCCAGAGACCTTTTGTGGGGTCCCCGCGAGCCAGGAGGGGAAAGAAAACAGAGAAGTGGAGGAGAAGCGAAGCCCACAGGAGCTGACACACCGGAGGGAAGAGGGCCCAAAGTACAGAGCGAGAAGGAAAACAAGAGGGCGGGGGTGAGGGCGACCCGAGCTGCTACCCGCAGAAGATTTATGGCGCTGCTCAGGTTCCAAGGACAGGCTGCACTCGGTGCTGCTGCCACCTCCGGTAGCCGCCGTGGCCGCTGCACCCCCTGCCCAGGCGGCCCGCCGCGCCCCGGGCCATCCCTGCCATTATTAACTTCTGTTTGATTAGGGTAATTGTTCAAACTTGGGTTGGACAGTATGATTAATTACAGTTTAATTAACGTGTCCATTAAGGACACTTAATGCCACGGGGGCAGGAAGGGGAGGTAGAAACGGCCGAGGGGGCGCCCGAAACGAGCCAGGGGAGGGGGTGCGACTGCTAACTCAAATAAAGTAGAGAATAAGATTAAGAGGGAGGAGGAGGAGGAGAGAGAGAGAGAGAGAGAGAGAGAGAGAGAGAGAGAGAGAGAGAGCGTGTGTTTTTACAATAGATAGGGTAGGGAAAGCACCAAGCGGTGTGAGGAAACTGGACCCCCCCCACCAGTGGAAAACGGAGTTAGCAGCGTGGATTTAGTAGCTCATAGTAGCTCAGGTCTCCCTCAACGATGACTTGACTCCTGCCCTAGGCCTGTTAGAGCTGGTGAGAGATAATGGAGATGGAGTTGGGGCACAAACCCAGTTCACCAGTCCCCTGCCCAGCGAAGGAAGCCGGAGAGTGACTCTCGCCCAAACTAGTGGTTTCCTGGCTGCTCGCGCCAAAGTCCGGAGCAGTGGGCAGCAGGATCTGCCCTTCCTGGCGGCGCTCTCCAGTACCCAGGACCCTGGTCTTAGCCGCTGGTCCCAGTCTCTAGTTCAATCTAGTCCAGTCTCTAGGGCCACTCTTGGTTCCACCGCCCCTGCAGAGGAAGCGTGATGTGACCCTTCCACAAGCCTTTTGAGTCACCCGTCCACTCTGACCACCCTGCCCCGGCCAGCCCGGCTCTTAATCCCTCAGAGGAGAGCACTGGGCACTTGGCTGGGTAGGGGGACAAACTTTCCGGGTCCCCGGCCCTTCCTCCCACTCGGCCTCTCTGGCAGGCGCCGGGCCGCAGGTGCGAGCCGCAGGCCGCAGGTGTGCGTCCGCTTACCTGGGGCGCACAGGCCCTGGGGCTGCGGAGAGGAGGCGAGCGGCGCGCGTGGCCCGCGGGCGGGCGGACCCGGGGAGGGCGCGAGTGTCTGCGGGATGGTGGGTGTGGCGCCCTGGCTGGCAGCTGTCAGACGCGCCCGCCCCGCGCCGGCCTGGCCACTCCCGGCTGTGACCGCGGCTGTGCCCGCCACAGCTCAATGCGCTCTAGGCTTCGGCCTCTTCTTCGGGCTGGTCCGGAGCCTCGGGGTCAGCGGCTCTGGACACGCGTCTCAGCTCCCGGGACCCTGGCGGCCCACGCCTGTTGAGGGCGGGAGGGGCGGCGGGTAGGAGCGCTGGGTGCGGGAGAGCGCGGCTGTGCGCGCGCGCGGGGAGGGGCCGCGCTGTCACCCGGAGAGCCCGGCGGATCCCCGACTCCCGCCCGCCGCTCCGCCCGCCGCGCACCTCCGCTAGCCCTGCTCCGGCTGCCGCCGCACGGTGAGTACCCGCGATCGCCAGCCCACCGGCCCCGCGCCCTGCCGCCGCAGCTTTGCTTTCGTTGACTTCTCCTTTGGACTCGGGGCTGTGGGTTTTAAAATTATTATTATTCTACCTAACGACTCCACAGACTCGCTGCCACCGTCTCCCGCCTTCTTACCCTCCCCAAGATCGTCCCTCAAGCCCGGGGTGCCAGAGAGGGGTCCCGGAGCCGCCCTGGTCGTTGGTCCTTGTCACAGCGTGAGGCCCTTCGCGGGTGCTTTCCTCTTTGGCCCTGGAGATGCTGTTTCGTTCCTAGGGCTCCCCCTTCTCCCGGCTCCAGGGTCCGGAGCGCCCTTCGATTACTCTAGGAAAACCCCTTGGGAACCCGGGGCCCTCAGCTTCAGGTGGATGCTCTTGGTCCAGGGTGCCTCTTCACTGTATGCGGGCCGGGTGTATTTGCCCAGAGAAACCGAGGAGCCACCGTCATTTCCCAGAACTGCGCCCCCACCCCCAGCCACCTCCGCAGCCCGCCGAGAGTCCTCCCTGAGGTTGTCTGGTCGACCCCTCAGCCAGTGAGTTAGGACAGTGGTTTTTTGCCTCCTCAAATGTTACAAGGGGCTTCAATGTGAAAGGAGGGTCAACTTGCTTTAGTTTGACTGGAAGAGATGAAACAGATAAATAGAACCAGATAAACAACTTGATACTTAAAGAAGGTACTAGACAGATGGGAGAAAGGGGAGCGATCTGGCAGGGATGGACAGCTCTGAGACAGATGAGACCTACAGATACGGAGCACCTAAACACATAAAGAGGACAGAAACCTACAGATCAAAGCTTCCAGGCTCTCCACCAAGGCTTTGGAATTCGGAACCCCTGTCTGGCTGAAGCTTATCCCTCTGAAAATGAATTTGCCTTTCCTGCAGAGTTTAGGAGAGGGAGCCCTGGGGATTGGGTTGGGCTGCAGAAGCACCTGCGGCTGGCCCACTGTGTTGGAGTCCTGCGTGTCTGAAGACACGTGAGGTGGTTGGGCAACCTAGAAGGCCCTAAACATCAGTTCTTGGGTCCCCCACCAGGCTGCTGAAGTCTATGGACACAGCCTCCTCTCTGCCTCCACCAGAGATCAAAGTCAGGGACCAGCAGCAACTTTTTGTGTACGAAGCTTTGCAGCTGCTTCCCAGAGTGCCCAAAATTCCTTCTAGCCCATCTGAGCTGGACACTAGGGACATGAAGAATACTCAGAGAGGAGCAGCCCAGAGCCTGAGGAGCCTGTGTTCTGCCTGAGTAAGAAACGCCTTTGTGGAGGAAAGCTCAGAAAGTAAGCTTTCTGAAGCTAAGAAGTGGCTCCTGAGAAACTTCTTTAAGAATCTCTCTGTCCCAAGCGCTGACCTGTATGGAAGCCAGCTTTAGTGTGGAATGCAGCTAAAAATGCAGAAAATGTGGTTAGGAAGTGCACGGTCCTGGTCCCATTGATGGCAGGATAGGAAATGTTTTATATATCCAGCCAGAATCTTTCTGCTGAACGAACACGGGACGCAAGGCGTCAGAAAAGCTCAGGTTTGTGCAAATCGGCAATGTTGTCCCTGGAAGCCAGTCATTACAGAGCTAGGTGCAGCGGTGGCCACCTGAGGTCTGGGCGCACACCACAAGCTTTGGTAAGGGTAGGGTTCAGCACCACGAACAGCGATCTCCTCCTCTCACCCTCCCCTTCAACCCTCAGCCCTCTTCCTCCTCCCTGCCCCCACCCTTACACCCCGCAGTCTAGAGATGGGCAGTGGCCACCCCTCCTTCGCCTTTCTATCCCTCCCCGCACTGCCCCCTCCCGCACGCGTGCATGAACGACTGAACAGTGGGGCCGCTGGTCCCCGAAGTCCCGGCTTCAGGACCCTGGCGGGCAGGGCAGGTTTTGAGGTGGCTGAAGGCGCGCAAATTTGCGCGCGGCGGGCGTGAAAGCCTGGATTTGGCCATGGCATTGCTGTGTGGCCTTGGGCAAGTCACTCTCAGTCTCTGGGTCCCACTTCCTTCCCAATCCGAAAACGGGATAGGGTTCCTCTCAGCTGGGGGCATTCCTGAGGTCTCCACTATGGCTTCTCCTACCTTAAACCTCCAGGCTTTTGTTTCAGTGTAGACACGGGTCTGAATAACAAAAGGGGCCAGTCCAGGGGGCGAATGAGCCTAGACTCCCCACTGCCAACAATCCCCGCACGCGCCTCACCCTGTACGCCCCGCTGGGCGGGCCCCAGTCTCTGTAAGGGCGCTCAAAATGGCTCATCTGTTCTCTGCTTTCTCTATTTCGCAGGAGCGGCGGCATGGAGGCTCTTACCACTCAGCTGGGGCCAGGGCGCGAGGGCAGCTCCTCGCCCAACTCCAAGCAAGAGTTGCAGCCCTACTCTGGCTCCAGCGCCCTTAAACCCAACCAGGTGGGCGAGACGTCGTTGTACGGGGTACCTATCGTGTCTCTGGTCATCGACGGGCAGGAGCGCCTGTGCCTAGCTCAGATCTCGAACACCCTGCTCAAGAACTATAGCTACAATGAGATCCACAACCGCCGCGTGGCCCTGGGCATCACGTGTGTGCAGTGCACGCCGGTGCAGCTGGAGATTCTGCGTCGGGCCGGGGCTATGCCCATCTCCTCACGGCGCTGCGGCATGATCACGAAGCGTGAGGCCGAACGCCTGTGCAAATCTTTCCTGGGTGAGCACAAACCACCCAAACTGCCCGAGAACTTCGCCTTCGATGTGGTACACGAGTGCGCTTGGGGCTCGCGGGGCAGTTTCATCCCTGCGCGTTACAACAGCTCGCGTGCCAAGTGCATTAAGTGTGGCTACTGCAGCATGTACTTTTCACCCAACAAGTTCATCTTCCACTCCCATCGCACACCCGACGCCAAGTACACTCAGCCGGACGCCGCCAACTTCAACTCGTGGCGTCGTCACCTCAAACTCAGTGACAAGTCGGCCACAGACGAACTGAGCCACGCTTGGGAGGACGTCAAGGCCATGTTTAATGGCGGCACGCGCAAGCGGACCTTCTCGCTGCAGGGAGGCGGCGGAGGTGGCGCTAATGGCGGGTCGGGTGGGCAGGGGAAGGGTGGCTCTGGTGGCGGTGGCGGTGGAGGCCCAGGGTGCGGAGCAGAGATGGCCCCGGGCCCACCACCTCACAAAAGCCTGCGTTGCGGTGAAGATGAGGCGGTTGGGCCTCCGGGGCCACCTCCACCGCATCCGCAGCGCGGACTTGGTCTGGCGGCGGGAGCTAGTGGCCCTGCGGGCCCTGGAGGACCTGGGGGCGGCGCGGGAGTACGAAGCTACCCAGTGATCCCGGTGCCCAGCAAAGGCTTCGGCCTCTTGCAAAAGCTGCCCCCGCCTCTTTTCCCGCATCCTTACGGTTTCCCCACAGCCTTCGGTCTATGTCCCAAAAAGGACGACCCGGTGTTGGTCGCGGGGGAGCCCAAGGGCGGCCCTGGCACTGGGAGCGGTGGAGGCGCGGGCACCGGCGCGGGTGCCGGAGGCCCGGGAGCCGGCCACTTGCCCCCGGGAGCAGGACCCGGCCCGGGTGGCGGAGCTATGTTCTGGGGGCATCAACCATCCGGAGCAGCCAAGGACGCAGCGGCTGTAGCTGCAGCAGCGGCCGCTGCCACTGTGTACCCGACGTTCCCGGTGTTCTGGCCAGCTGCAGGGAGCCTCCCGGTGCCGCCTTACCCCGCTGCGCAGACCCAGGCCAAGGCCGTTGCGGCCGCGGTAGCTGCTGCAGCAGCTGCGGCAGCGGCGGCGGCTGGCGGCGGCGGCCCGGAGCTCTTGGATGGTGCGGAGCCAGCCAAGGAGGGCAGCCTTGCCACGGAGGAGCGCTGTCCCAGCGCTCTATCCCGCGGGCCCCTGGAAGAGGACGGCGCGGACGAGGCGCTGCCACAGTCCCTGGCCCCCTTGCCTCCTCCTCCTCCGCCGCCGCCAACCCGCAAAGGCTCCTACGTGTCAGCCTTCCGGCCGGTAGTCAAAGACGCGGAGAGCATCGCCAAGCTTTACGGCAGCGCCCGGGAGGCCTACGGCGCGGGTCCTGCTCGTGCGCCAGTGCCAGGGACCGGAGGAGGCTACGTGAGCCCGGACTTTCTGAGCGAGGGCAGCTCCAGCTACCATTCCGCCTCGCCCGACGTGGATACCGCGGACGAGCCGGAGGTGGACGTGGAGTCCAACCGCTTCCCCGACGATGAGGGAGCCCAGGACGAGAGGGAGCCCAATGCACCCAGCACCGGAGGTGGCCCAGACGGCGACCAGTCCGCCGGGCCCCCATCTGTCACCTCCTCCGGCGCAGACGGTCCCACAGACTCCCCTGGTGACGATAGCCCTAGCCCTGGGCGCCGCCTTGGGGCACCCCCCGCCAGCCGATCCGCATTTGGGGACCTGTCCGCCGACGACACGGTGCGAAGAACTGCGAGGAGCTCACCCAGCAGCTGCTATGAGCTGCGGGAGCCTTGCGGGCCCCTAGGAGGCTCCGTGACTGCCAAGGTGAGCCCCGCGCGTGTCCAACGGGTGGCGTCGCCTCACCTACGGTTACACTGTGCGGGCAAACCGGGCATGCAGGGCAGCCCGGGGCCAGGTGGAGAAACCTGAGTTTTATTCTGCGCCGGCGTTGAAGCAGCAAGCCCCAGCTGCATTCTGCAGGCCCAGCTTGTGGCGCCGGGTGGAACTGGGCTTGCTGGGACACCCTCCACCTTCCCCGACTGAGGGATTTGGAAATGGGGGTGGGGTGGGGCTGAGGAACAACGTGTGTGCTTTGTTTTTGTTTGTGGGAGTCGGGAGAAGATTGTCAGACACCACCAGACATCCAGAAAGAAACAAAAGGAGTCTAGAGGAAGGGAAAAAAGAGGAGAAAGGCGCCCTGGAGGCCAGGCCCAGAGTGTACTGCTTGCAGGAGGATAAGAGCCCCAAGAAACATCAGAGGGTAGGGAGAGGGCTGTCTCTCTCCAAAATCAGTCCCCAAATCTTCCACCATCCAGCTAGTAGTTTTCAGAGTCTTTACAGACTCTGGCCTGGGGAAACACTGGTCTTGTTGCTGGGAAGCCAGCTCCCAGGGAAAGCCACCGGAGGGGTGCTGTCTGGTTGGCAGAGCAGGGGCTGGAAATGTGAATTTCTGCTAGGCCGGAATAACTGGCTTTTTAGAAAGTGGATGTTCACACCTGTATATTCTCACAGGGTTTATTAAAATAGGAATCATTAACTGTGTGTGGAAGGCATCATTCATGCCTGAAACCAGGCAGGGCACTGGTGGGAGGGAAAAGTACCAAAAAGGAGACCTGCGAAGGGCGGCTATGAACAGCTGGTGGCCCGGGATGCTTTGTGTTTCATGCAATTTGCTTGCAGGAACCAATGATTACCCTGGGTTGACTAAAAGAGCGAGCGCGAGGGTGTCTCTGTCACCGCTGACCTAGGCGCAGGGGTCTCAAGGGCCCACCAACCTCCCACCCACACAGTCCTTCCTGTTGGCCCCTGGGCAGGGCTGTCCCCTAATTGTCTGTCCTGTCTCCGCCGCAGCAGGTGTATCCACCCGAGAGGGACGAGCAGGTGAAGAGTGCGCCAGCGGCGGCGGCGGCGGCGTTGGGGTCCGCAGCACCGTACCTCTGCACCCCAGAGGCCCACGGTAACGCCTCCCGAGGCCTCTGACTGGTTTAATGCAGGGACCGCAGGCAAAGGGTCAGGGCCAAGGAGGGCCTTTCAAGGAAGAAAGAGAGATGTAGAGAAAAAGAGAGGGGGACAGAAAATAATAAAAGAAAAAGGAAGCTAAGTGTGAATTCCTAGGGTTTGGTTCCCTTGAAACAACCACCCCACCCTCCTACTGTACACACACACACACACACACACACACTTCACTTAAAACCTTTCAAAAGCCACGCCTGGCATCTCCTCTCATTTATTCAGAAAATACTCTTGGCCTCAGGCTCCAAGTGTGGCCAGGCCTGGTCAGGGGTAGGATGAGGGTTTGAGTACCCCAGAAGCTCAGGTATAGCTGCGGACCCCAAAGGAGCCCTGCACTTGCTTTTGGGACTAGGTTGCTAGGCAAGGAAGGGCCCCGGGACCTCAGAAAATCCCTGCAGGCCTAGGCAACCGAGTGTCGGACAGTGTCCGATTGCACCACCTACACTGGGAAGGTCGCCGTTTGGACTGCAGTCTCTGATAGAGTCGCGCGCGGACAGACCTGGCGGCCACGCGCGCTCGCGGTGCCCCAGTATCTGCGCGCGATGTAGGTCGCTTGTCCCTGGTGGGCTCAGCTGCTCAGCTTGCTCTTTTCCAGGGGGCTGGGACTGAGGTGGGGGCGTGAAGCTTTGAGTTGGGCAGACCTTGCGCGGGGGAGGGGGTGCCTGGCCCTAAAGCCTCGGGGCGCGCGCCTGGGCGCACAGCCGGGAACCAGGGGCGGCCACGACGTTTTTAATTAGGGCTTGGGCGCCCCAACCGCGGCAGCTCTGGCAGTATCCGGGTCACGGTTTCTTTGCCTCTCCTTGAAATTCGGTTTATTGCCTTTAAGAGCCAGATAAGGAAGACAATCACTCGACCACCGCAGACGATTTGGAAACCAGGAAATCCTATTCAGACCAAAGGAGTGTCTCCCAGCCAAGTCCCGCAAATACAGACCGAGGTGAGATTCAGCAATTCTCGTTCCTACCCAAGGCCTGGAGCTGGGATCCGGCTCATCCGGGTCACTGCAGACTCGGAGCGAGGGTTTAATCTTGAGCTAAAGATGGCACTGAACAGATATTTAAATGCTGTGGGGGAGGTGCAGGCCAAGTTTCTGGACTCACTATCTCCCAGGTGCTTTGGTGGCTCTTCTGAGTGAGGTGCAGGAAGCATATCAAAAGGAAGTGGAGGGACCACCTAAAACAGATCAAAGAGTATGCCCTGCCCTAAGAGAGCCCTTCTTCCCTGAGCCCCTGTCCTACCATCCCCCAAACTAACGGCTTGGAAGGTGGGTAGTCCTGGACACCCTAACTATATCCTCCTAAGGCAGCAGATCTGGAGTATGTCCTTTACTTGGCAGAGTTCCCAAGAAGCTTACCCTTCCCCCTGAAGGCCTCTCCCCTTTTCTTACCCACCCTTGTACCCCAGGTGAAGATGGACTGACCTTGGATGTCACAGGAACTCAACTAGTGGAGAAAGACATTGAAAACCTGGCCAGAGGTGAGGTTAAATCTGTGAAATGGGGCTACATGGTGCTAGAGGGAGGTAGGCCCTTGGAGGAATGGAACTGTAATGGGGGTAGTGGGTGTGTGGAAGAGACATGGTTCCTGGGGGAGGGAGGGGGTGCCTGCTTTCATTTCATCCAGTAAAAAGGATAATCCTTTAAGGACATGCTGGCATAGAGGTAGATGTATGTGAGGGTAAGGGGTAGGATGAGCTAACCAAACCCCTGGAAGTTTACTATAAATTTGGGTTCCAAAGACCTGAGTGTCTTGAAGAACTGGATGAGAAAGAGGAATGAGTGATGATTCTCAGAACTTGTCATCTGCCCAGGGGACAACCAGACAGGACAATCTGGGTCTCTCTAACTCCATGAAAAACTGGACTTTTTCTGAAGAGCAAGATGCAGGCAGCATTTATTTCAGGACTGTGTGAGAGGTTACCCCCCTACCCCAGGGATTAATGCATAGCTATCTGCACATTAATGTAGTGGGAATGGAGCTCTCCTTTGTGGAACAGGACACTCCCTCGCCGTTGTGCTTAGCCTGAAAGGGGGGGGGTGGCTTGAGGCACAGGGAGTTTTGACCCCCACTTAGTCCTTCAGCCTCCATTCCCCATGTTTCAAAAGAGGATCCAGATGCTAATGGCCCCGTGTTTGAGGTGGTTCCTTCCACTCCTCCAGAACTGGTTTCTGGGGGCAATGAACTGAGTCTAATCCACACCAGTCAAAGGAAGGTCTTGGAAATTGGTGGGGGAGGAAGGGAGAGAAGTATCAGTGGTCTTCCATTCTTCCTAGTGACAGATTTTTACAGAACATACCACTACCTTCAAAACCACTACTGTTTTATCTGAGTGTCTATGGCATGGGTTTGGAGGTCTAAAGACCTCTTGAAATTGTAAGCAAACTTGTTATGCATACCTTTTTCTGTAGGAAGGCTGTCCATGAATTTGACCAGATTCTTCTTGATTTGTATTGAAAGGAGGGTTTGAAGTATCATTTGAAATGAGGAGTCACATTTTGTGGGTCATTGTCTGAGGTTAGAGAGTTAGGAGCAATTCAAAGCAGATGCCAGATTGGTTATTTCCTGGACCAGGGTCCAGAAATCCAAAATAGTTCTTATCCTCTTGAACTTGATTATCTTGGGGCTTACTTGTTTTCCATCAAATTCTTGGGGTGCAAATTTTTAAAAAGCCAAAATGCTGAAGACCTCTGCTCCAATTCAGGTGTGGCCAGCACAGAACCTTGACACCTGATGAGTCCTTTGAATTCCTCATCTTCTTTTTTACCTCTCCTCCATCTTTTCACAGAGGAACTGCAGAAACTGCTTCTAGAACAAATGGAGCTGCGAAAGAAGCTGGAGCGAGAATTTCAAAGTCTCAAAGGTACTTCCACCCTTCCTTGCCCCACCTCTATACCACATCCGGGAACTGGGTGCACATAGCTACCACCACTGGCCCCCGGGATCCAGGATCTTCACTTTTGCTGTGTTTCCAGCTAGGTGGGAGGACTGGATGGGGGTTGGGGTAGGGGTGAGGATGGGAGGACGCTTGAAGTGGAGCTGGGGGAGGAGGCTGTGCCTAACAGCTCTCACTTAATCAATTTGCACAGATAATTTTCAGGATCAAATGAAGAGGGAATTGGCTTATCGGGAAGAAATGGTGCAACAGCTGCAAATTGTCAGAGGTAAGACGGGAGTCAGGTGAGCGCGTGAACGGGCTGTAACTGCCTCTTGTCTGGCAGGAGCCTGCAATGTTGGCTCAGTCATTTGGATTTAAATTGAAGGTAATTTAACAATTATTTTTTTTTATTTAATATCCTTTGTATACTCTGATTAGCCTCAGAATGGCAAGCGAGCCCAGCAAACGGCTTGCAGGCATCATTACATGGAGTGATTGAACTTCTTATCGCGGCAATTTCCATGGTTTCTAAATTAAAAATCGAGGCGTAAAATTACCTGGGAAGTAATGCCTAAGTTTGCTTTAATTTTGGTTAGATCCGTCTGCCTTTAAGCGCCATCCCAGGCCATTTCTTCCCTCCCCTGCCTGCAGTTTGAAGTGTGGGTGTCCCCTCCCTAGGTTCCGGAGTTGTTTCTGAAAGGGAGAGGCTGTAGCCCTGACTATGACCTTGGCCATCTGGCCTGAGGATGGTCTATGTTTCCTTACCAGCTGCTCTTTGTGTCTTCCAGATACCTTGTGTAACGAACTGGACCAGGAGAGGAAGGCCCGCTATGCTATCCAACAGAAATTAAAAGGTGTGAACTGAGAAACAAAGATGAGTGTGTGTGTGTGTGTGTGTGTGTGTGCACGCATATGTGTGTGCGCTGGCACCAGAAGCTGGGTGTGCTATTGAATGAATAGATGAGTGAATGAATGAATGAATGAATGAATGTTCTGTAAGGGAGGAAGCCAGGATCTACGTGGATCAGAAGCTGGGAACTGGGGAGTGGGAATTGAATGTAATGGGGAAATAATTAGAAAACCACTGGGTAAGGACAAAGCATCCCTTGAGCTTTGGGCATATGAAAATTTGCTCTCTGGTCCAGCCCTGGCTTTGAACAAGTAGACCTGTCTTTGTGTCTCAGTTTCCCCTTCTGTAAAAGGGGGTTAATGAGCCAAAGTGGTTCTCTCACCCTCCTACCTCATTTCCGATCTGCTCCATTGAGAATTCCTGTGCCCAAGAGTTGAATGGGGTCTGGGAGGGGGACTGGTCGACTTCAAGGACCACTGTGGCAGGTGAGGCAGCCAATGTGGCCTGTGTGACTCTCTCTTCAGAAGCCCACGACGCCCTGCACCACTTCTCTTGCAAGATGCTGACGCCTCGCCACTGCACAGGCAACTGCTCCTTCAAGCCCCCTCTGCTGCCCTAGCGCCGGCCTGGCCGCTCCCACGCGCCCTCAAGCCATGCTGCTTCTGTAAATACCCGCTGCCGTGGCGGCCCAGAGCGAGGAACAAGCCATTAGGACCGACAGTTGTAAATAGAGCTGCCCGCCCGCCGGTCCCTTCCCCGGCTAGGCTCGGTTTCCCAGTGTAAATACCGCCTTGCCCCTCCTTTGAACTCCAGGGCATCAGACCTCAAGGGGTTAACTGGACCCACCCGGGAAAAGAAAGGGGAGAGGGGAGATCTCTTTCATCCTCAACCCCAGCCCAAGTAGGGCCGAAGACCCTGATTGTGAATATGATGTAGCAACTTCGCTGGCCGCGGCCGCGGGCTCCCTGTCCCATTCACTTTTGAAACTCTTGTTCCTAAAGACAACGTGGCTATGTGCAATGGATATAAACGGACTGTGAGTCTCTCGGTTCAGTATTAGGTTCACTTTATTTATGCTGTAAGTTACTTTTCTTGTCCTGAGCCCACCTCCAGCCCCATTTTGCAGTCCCCTTTGCTTTTTGTTGTAACCTCTTGATGTAACAGCACTTTAAAAGGGCGACAACTGACTCACGAGATGGCGACCACCTTGAGGGGAGACTTGAGGGGAGACCTGTACCCGTGATTTTTGTTTTTAATAAAAATAAAGAAATCTGTCACATCCTGGAGCTGCTCCGAGGTGTGCGTGGGGCCAGGTCTGGGAGGAGGAAGGGGCGGGGTGGTGGAAGTTGAACCCACAGGTAGGGCGTAGGGATGAAGGTGGAGTCCTCCGGAATGGTGGTGGTTAGAACCCCGGTGTTCTTTCGGGTAGACCCTGCAGAGTGCGTCCTGACCTCCCTCTCTACTGACCCACCCAGACAGTCCCAAGTTGCCCCAGTGGCCTCTCTGTTAGAACCCTCCAGTGGGCGTGAGCTAGGAAAGGGGATCTGGTCCTTTGTGAGGTAGTTCATTGACCACTTTCCTCTCCTGCCTGTGAAGTCATCTCGAGGGACCACTCTGCAGGGGAGCTGGTGAGGAATCCCGATTTCAACAAGAATTGCGCTTCTATCTGGCATGGTTCCGCAGGTCCGGTCTAGGAGGGCTGGGGCGGGGGGGTGAGGTGGGGGTCTGCTCCCGGCATCTGGAAAAGGCATGACTTGGAGGTGGAGCACAGATGCCCTGCAGTGACCCGCAGCTACCCCAAAGGAGGAAGCCCTGCGGCATTTTAATGTTCTCTCCCTCCTAGCCTAGCGGAGTTAAGTGAAAGGTGAGGAAAAAGGTGAGGCCTGCGGGCCAGTGCTCGCCCCCGGCTTCAGAAGCTTTACTTTGTGGCTGGCTTTGTATCAGCCTCAGTTTCCAAGGTGCACCTTCTGGTTGGGCCACAAATAATGGGTATAAACTTGCAGACTACCCCACGCCCAGCAGTGTGGAAGATGCAAAGTGCAGGCAGGGTCTTGGGAATATTTCAACCTAGACTGGATTTCAAGTCTTCCTCTGGCGAGCAAGGGTCATGCGTCGCGCCCTTTATTTTTCCCAGGCCTGAGTTTCCAGCCTCTATAAAATGACATTCCGGTGTCTGTGCCCGAGGCTTAAAGGAAGCTAAGTTCTGGGAGGCAAGTCCATCCCCGGCTGCTGGCCGCTGCTAGGACCTCGAAGGCCTCCTTCTGGCTCTCACGACACCCCAGAGCAGCTCCAAGCATCTCTCCAGTTATCTTGGAGGGGACGTCGGGTCCCGCAGCTCCCTGGAGTGGCTCGGGACCTGGAGCCCTAGTTGCCGCGCGCCGGGGAGTTTCGCTGTGGGTTGTCTAGAAGCCTCCAGAAGTGCAGGGTCTCCATCTGGGCCACCGAACAGGGGAACAGACACCCGGCCCAGCGCGTGGGGGAGGCAGGAGGCCAGTCCCTGGGACTAGAGTCCGAAGCCTCAAGGCTAGGGATACTGGGGCGGGGCAGGGGGCAGATCCATTGAGGATGCAGAGCAGGTAATCGCCATGAGGACGCCAGGCAAATCCTGAGGCTCCACCGCGCCATCTCCTCGCTGGGACTCTCCAGCGAGCCGGAATCGTTCGTGGAGGGGTGAGGTGACAGGAACATGTTTGCTAGCCCTCTCATGTCATCACTATACCCACGACGAAAGTCCCCAGGGCGCGCAGGGACAGGGCCCTCACCTCTGTTTCCCACTATCTAAACGCACCTTTGGAAAATGCACTTTCCTTCTCTGTAAAATGGGCAGGATAGTTACCACCTAGGTAGAAAGTCCCGTGGCTACCGATCAACAGAGGAGACTAGCAAATAGTCCTTTCCACTCTTTTTTTTTTTTCTCCCCAACTCCCCCTAAATGGAAAAAGCATTCAGGTAACTGGTGCCCGCCAGAAGAGGAGCCCCATCTGGTCCCGAGCCTCTGAGGACTTGGAGGTGTAGGCGGATCCGACCTAAAAAGTTCAGTGGCAAAAAAACAAAACAAAACAAAACAAAACAAAACAAACAAAACCACCCTTCTGGGCTCCGCATCCCTTCGAAAATGGCTTGTTCCCCCCAAAATGTTAATAACCAAACGATTGGTATGGATGTAATTATCAATAATTATACGAATTATTGCTGATTGCGGGGCTCGTAGCTACTTTAATTAGCTTACCAGATTCTAATTAAGTTAAATGAAACATTAATAGGGAAAATATGCTTTAAAAAACACCCAGTTTTTTAAAAGTTTATTTCTCGCCACAATGTTGCCACCTTGCGGTGGATTTTAGGCATTACAGCCAACGCGCAAAGGCCAGGACTTGTTCCTTACTTAGCTCTCACAGTTTATAGAGTTAAAGGGGACATGGAGCACAGAATGTCCCATGGGAGATTTTCTCCGGGCGTTTGGTTAGGCACTCTATTCCCCAGGGGTGCCTACAAGACATCTGGCTCTGGAATACAGGTGTGGAGGTAAGGGGCCATGTAAACACTCTGCTTCCACCTCCCCAACACTTTCAACAGAGGAATTCCACCCTTTTGGGGGAGCTGCATGGGACAGATTGTCTCTCTCCATCTGTGCCACAAACCTGGCATGAGAGATGGAGCAAAGTAATTTTTCACTCCTCTGCCAACAACTAGTAAATTGCTTCACACCTCTGTTTCCCATGTCAAGAAGGCTAACCTGCCTGGAATAAAACACCACCTAGAAGACAGCTCCCCCCACCCACCTCCAAGGTCATAGGTAGCCTGTGCTCTCATGACACTAGGTTCTTGAACCTAGCAGGGCAGTCACCTTGTTATCCTTGGTTGTACTAGTTTACCTCCTAGGGAGCCTGCAAGGACCCCCCCACAGTGGGGGTGTCCTCTACTCGTCCTGTGGTCTCCAACAGCACTCTAGGATCCATGGCAAGTGTCCACACAGAATGTCCATGGGAAAGGGCAGTTCATCTAGGTGTTGGGAATATCAGAGGGAAGGAATCCCTAGGTGTGTCTGGACAACAGTCACTGAGAAGTAATCACATTCATTTGTATAAGGTTAATTAAACGCAAACTTGCTGCTCTCAAAGAAAATCCTTCATCAATAGGATTAGTGTCAGGGTAGGTGTCCAGTAATATATTGTTAATCTGGAAAAGGAAAACTTTCTTTCTGTCCCAACTGTGTCCCAAAGAAGGGGTTCTATTACTTCCTCAAATTTTGCAAGTTCATGACCACATACCCACAGAGCTGCCTTGCCGTACAGTGTAGCTTTGACCCTTTGTAGATATGCCTTGAATCCAGAGAAACAGCAGGAGCAGATCTGGATCTGCATGCTCATCCCCATCTTTCCATTCATTTAAACAGCCTTATTTCCCCTCCCCACCCAGAGGCCAAACCATATGAGCCAGACATGGTGGTGCAGGCCTTTAATCCCAGCACTTGGGGCAGAGGCAGGCAGATCTCTGTTAGTGTGAGGCTAGCCTGGTATACATAGAAGCCAGCCAGGGCTACATATCAAGAACCTGTCTCAAACAAAGCACAAATATGTAACTATATTTACTGAGGTCTCCACTGCTTCTCTTTGTGAACATGTTGAATTTCTGTCTGCTGCTGCTTCTGTAACATGACTTCATACAAGCGGTTTGCAGGTGTAGAGCATTAACAAATATAAAGACCTGAGAATAGGCCTGGCAAATAAGTGCTAGCATGTCTGCATGTGATGAGGTCACGGTTTTCCATCCTGGAGACCCAGTTTGTGGCCCTCCACTTCTCCAGGGCCCAGGAAAGGAGACAAGCCAGTGTTGTGTCAGGTCTGAACTTCTGGACTTTGTGAAGGGTCTAAAAGGTTGGAAAGCCATCCTCCATGTGACCAGTGGGGCAAGGGACTGGCCCAAGTTCTCTCAGCAAGTTAGTACAAAGCCAAGAAAGGCAGCCAGGGCTTCGGATTTCCAGCCCTATGAATGGCATGTGCTTTCCTTCCCCCAAAAGAATGGTCAAGACTAGAAGAATGAAGAATTCTTTAGGACAGGTGTGTCTGTGTCTCCCAAATATTTCTACTGCAAACTAATAGGTTCCTGTCTCCTGCGCCGTGGGCCCTTGTGCAGGAGAAGGAGCCAGACCAGGATTGGTGGTTTTCTCTGACTGGTAGCATTTCAGAAGGAGACATTTAAAAATGTTGACTCAAAGAACCAGACATGTGGTTCCAGTAGAAATTGTCGTCCACCTGCCTTTAAGGAGGAAGACTGGGAGCCGAGGAAGAGGTCCGAGGAGGGGCTTCCACAGGCGGTAATTCCCGATGTGACCAGGAAAGGATCTTGCCACCTCACCGAAAAGAACAGAAATAGGTCCCAGGTGGAACGCTGCCTGGAGGATAGCGTCCGCCGGCGAAGGTCTCCCGGGCAACTCCGGGGTTCATCCTCCACCACTGGGGTGAGCCGGGAGCCCCCGGAGGGGACACGCTGGAGTTCCAGTAGCTGCAGGGACCCAGCAAGCAGATGCTCCACTTTTCTTCTGGTATTTCCGAAAACACTGAATAAACATCACAAGACTTCTGAACTTTGTTGGGCCTTTACCCACCCCACTTCATCTGGCTAAGCAGGACTGATTTGTTTTTAATTGGATGACGGGAACCAGGAAGACCATGTCTTTTCAGAGTCAGTGTCTCTCCAAAGGTATCAAGGCTAGTTTCAAACACTGCTTCTCAGGGTGCTCCAAATCTCAGGTCTCCTAAGCAGCGATGCCACAGCGCAGGACTTTCTAGGAGGAATTGCTCGGTCCGGTGGCACGTTTGGGGACCGTACACATCACAGTGTATCAAAGCGTTAGGGGCTTTTATGTCGTGGGCCTAAGTGGGGGATTTTGGCAAAACCATTCCTTAAGCGTCTGGCAACTGGGTGGCTGGCGCCTCTGACCACAGCATTCGGGAGGTGGCAGCAGGGAAAGACAGAGTTCAAGGTCACCTTCAGCTCCGTGGCGCGTTCGAGGCCGGGGTGGCATGCAGGAGACCCGATTCCGAGTAGAAGAAATCGCAAACCGGACGGAAACTGGACAGAAGGGGTACGCCTGCAAAATACGCGAGCCGGTAAGAAACGGTGAATTCCAAGAAAAATATGGAACGCTTCACGAATTTGCGTGTCATCCTTGCGCAGGGGCCATGCTAATCTTCTCTGTATCGTTCCAATTTTAGTATATGTGCTGCCGAAGCGAGCACGAGCTTGGTGTCCGCACAAGTGCTATATGAGACCAAAGTTCTCAAAGATTCTTCACTTATGGTGAGACCATTGTAAGGTTCAAGCGTCAAAATCATCCATAAATTATTATTTTCTGAACTGTATATTACAATATATGTTGAGTTATGATCCAAATTAAGCTTATTTATGTCCTTAACTACTTTAAGCAGCGTATATGCAAATGAAGGGACCATGGGAAACAGGCCGTTCCGGCTCCGGCAGTCACGCTCCATCACGTGACGGACGCTGCGCACGTCCTCGATCCCCGCCGCTCAGGACTCGAACCCGTGTTCCCCTGGCAGCTGTGCGTCTTTGGAGTTCGGGGCTTGGTGGCCACGCGATTCCTACTCGGAAGGCGCGGGAAAAGGCTGCGAGGCGGTCCCCGCCTCCGAGACCCTGGACCGCGGTCCCAGCGAGGGCAGGGGGCCACCACCCTGGGCCGGCTCGGGGTGGCCTCAGTTTCCCCTGGCTTGTAGGAAACAGCGTCCCATCGTTGAAGCCATGGGAGAGAGGGGTGTTCAGTTTGGAGCTCAGACTTTCAAGTGTGACCGGCGTTTGGTGGAGCTCGGGGACAGGCCGTCGCCCTCTGCCCGTGTATCAGGCACTTAACCTGGTTTGCCCCAGCTTTACAGGTTAGAAAACTGAGGCTCTGGCAGGTTAAACCATCAGGCCCGACTGATCATGGTCGTCGTAAAAGCAGTTAAGATATTTGGATGCAAACCTGGTTCAAAGGCCGGTCTTTTCTTCTGCTGGTAGGACTCAGGAAAATTTGGACTGCGAGTACGGCTCCCCTTTCCCGGCTGGACTTTACTCCCAACCTCACGCTTCTCCACCCTTCCTTCATTGCTTCCACAAATACCGAGCACCCACATTGTCAGCACTGGGGCTTTGGGGTGAGTGCGCAGGAAGCGTCCAGTGCTAGCGGGGGACCAGATAGACGTGGGACAGACTCTGCATGCAGAGTGACAGTTATGGCCCCGAAGTGGGCGGGGGGGGGGGTTCCTGGGGGGGCG